GCGGCTTCCAAGCCACGGGGCTCAGTTTCCTTGCCAGCTGCTCGCCTGCCCTCAGGGGCACCTGCCCGTTGGACCCTCCTCCGCGGCTCCTCCGCCCTCAGGCCGGGACCCGGCTGCTGCATGCTGGCATTGCCTTTAGCGGCCTCAGCAGAAAGCAGGAGGCGCCTCCCTCCGCGTGCCTCGAGCGATACCGAGTGCCCTTGCAGCCTCCGGCCAAGTGCCCCAAGCCGCCCCTTCCTGCCACCCTCCCAAGCAGCCGGGACCCCCGGCTGCGCTGAGCCGCCCACTCGGCCTCCCCTCACCCAGCTTCCTCTGCGCCCAGCGCCTCCCGGCCAGCAGTGGGGACGTGGGGGGCTGGGACTGGCAGTTCAGCAGATCTGCAGCGCGCCAGGCTAGGGGACGCCTCCTTGGGGGCCCCATGCCGGCAGTTGCGTCGCTCCATCCTTCGCAGCAGCGTGGGAAAGCCCCGCAGGGCGCGTGCAGGCAGGCCAGGCGGGGCTCACTCCCTGGCTGGCTGGCCGGCCTGCCTCTCCCTCACAAAGGCAGGCAGCTTCAGATTAAACGCCTCTTTTGGAAGCGCTCCAGGCAGCAGGGAGTGGAGGGAGGTTTCAGCTCCATTTGCTCTGGACAGAGACTGATTTCACAGAAACAGAGTGAGTCAGATGGGGCCACCCAGGCCATCTAGTCTGACCCCCAGCTCCAGCCGGCTCTTCTCACGTGATCCCCAATCCAGGCTTTCCTCAAACACCCTCACTGATGGGGCCTCCACCTCCCTTGGAAGCCCATCCCAAATCCCAGGGGTCCTAAATGTCAGGAAGTACTTCCTGGCATCCAGCCCGAAGCTTGTTCCTTACGCTTTGCCCCACTGGAATGCACCCTGCCCTCCAGTCCAGGGAAGAACAGCTCATGGCCCCCCTCCACATGGCATCCCCTCACATACCTTTGAGCCACTGAAAGATCCCCCCGAAGTCTCTTCTTCCCCAGGCTCAAAGAACCAGGTCCTCCCATCTCTCCTCATATGCCATCCCTCCCAGCCCGGCTCCCGTTCTTGTGTCCCTGCACTGGGCGGACTCGAACCTTGCTCTCTCCCCCCTACAGTGTGGGCCCCAGAACGGGATGCAGCATTCCAGCTGTGGGCGCACCAGGGTCACGCAGAGCAGCATCGACCCCTCCCTGGATCTGGAAGCCGCACTTCTGGCTACACATTCAAGGTGGCGTCGCCCCTTCAACCACCGCGTGAGGTTGGCAAGTACCCCGAGCCCCGTCCACAAGTGCTGCTCTCCAGTCACTTGTCCCCCATCTCTGTTTCACGTCAGAGAAGTGGGCTGCTGTCCTTTCGGAAAGCTGCTGCAGGAGAGGAGCTCAGCTCATGCTCAGAGGCACCCTTGCTTCATGTAGTCTGGCTGTCAGACACAGTGTCCAGGATAAGGCCCCGGGTATCCTGAGCCAGTGCTAATCCCAGAGAAGGTCCCTACACGCGCCAGTGCTAATCCCAGAGAAGGTCCCTACACGCGCCGGCCCCGTCGGCCTTCTTTCCCGTCCCTTAGAGGCTCCTCTCATTCGGCCAACCCCGATCCACCCTCTTCCTGCATAGCTCATGGGCGGTGGCACATCGGCCTCGCGAGGGGCAGCACCAGGCTTCTCAGCTTCTGCACGGCGCACCTTCAGTGCACGGGAGCGGACGGCCCCCTTGCATGTGCGAAGGCCCCACCGGTGCGGGTGTTCAAAGATAGGCTGGAAGTGCACATCGTGGGCATGTCGTGAGCGGAGCCGGCTAGTGCCGGGGGTCAGACTAGATGGCCCGGGAGACCCCTTCTGACTCACTCAGTTTCTATGTCCCCCGGAGCCCCTTTTAGGCTGCTCACACCAACAGCCACTGAAGACCTGCCTTGTGAAATTGCCTCTTTCTAAAACGAGAATGGAGCTGGAGCTGCATCAGAAGGAAGGAGAAGCCAAGGGACGCCGAGAGGGGCACCAGGACTTGTCCAGTCTGCTCAGGGGGCAGGGGCCTCGGACTGAAAGCCGATCGATCGGTCGATCGATCGATCGCTTGGCCCGCTCCCCGATCCTGCAGCCCTCACTTTCAGGGCAAGTGCCTTCCTCCCCAGCCGGCAATGCGATGTCAGCACCCCGCCTCGAGCCCCCGGGCCAGGGAGCGCCCCGTTCCACCCTGCTGCTTGCACAACCAGCTATACGGAGTTGCAGCTTGCAGGCAGGCAGGCAGGGAGACGCCCCCTGGCCAGGACGAGCCCGGTGGCCGTGCCCCTGCCGCGCTTTGCTGGCTTGAAAGGCGGGGGGGGGGGGCTTTGGACTGCGGAAAAACAGTGAGCAGGGGAACACGACATTGGCCAAAACAGTCCTGCATGGCACGGAGACGGTGCGGAGGGGACCCCCGCCTCCTGTCCCCGTATTCCACTTTCTTAGCACATTTTTACGCCACCACTTTCTGCCTCCTCAGCCCCCGAATCTACGAACAAAACTGAACGGGATGTTGCCCTGAGCGGCCCTTCGAACAGAACGAACAGGCCCACTGAGGGCTTGGGAAGGGGCGGCGGCAGGAATCAGGAGAGCGCGGCACTGCCTGGCCGGCCTCTGTGGTGGGGGGGGGGGTGCAATTTGGACGCTGCCTGGTCGGAAGTGCTCTTGGTCCCCCCACCCCCACCTTCGGAACTCCCTTTTTCCCACCGTGCCCCGTTTGCCCAGGTGCTTTGCACACCCGACACCACGGTTTGGGCTATTTGTTCAAGTCCCTGGAAGGGGAGCTGCGGAAAGCGCAGCCGGCGATGCCAGCCGCTTCCTCTGGGTTTGGACAGAAGCGAGAGACCGCAAGGAAGCGGACGGCTCCTCGGCCCAGGGGGGCAGGCGCTCCCGTCCAGGGCACGCAGCGCAGGGGGAAAATGACCCCCGCAGGACACCACAGGAGAGACCTCCCCTCCGGACATCGCCATCCAGCAGACCCCGCCCGCCAGCATCCCCAGCAGGCCCCGCTGGGTGCCCTCGCTCGCCCCTCGAGGACCCCGAGGGCCAGCTGCGCGCCTCCCTGGACCCCAAACCACTCCTCCGGCACGCGCCCGTTTGCGGGGGGCGGGGGGGCTCCCTCCGGGGCTGCCGCAGGGGCAGAGCGCTCCGGAGCTGCCGGGCTCGGTCTCATCCGACCGCGGGCCCGCCAAGGCGGAGAGAGCTGCGGGGCGCACGCCCCCGGCGCTGGGCACGGCGCCCCCTCGGCTCCGCCCCGTCGCCCGCCGGCCAAG